GACATGGCACCCGAATTGATCTGGTTCCAGCAGCAGGCCGAGGAGTCGAATCTCACTATTCCTTTCTTCTTCCACGCCGGCGAAACTCTCGGCGATGGAAACTCGACCGACAACAACTTGTTCGACGCGGTCCTCTTCGGCACACGCCGTATTGGACACGGTTTCTCCCTGTACAAGCACCCGAGGTTGATTGATGAGGTGATCGAGAACGGCATCATGGTGGAAGTCTGCCCCATTTCCAACGAAGTCCTGCGTCTCGCCACCGATATCCTCCACCATCCCCTTCCGGCCATGATTGCCCACGGTATTCCGACGGCTATCAGCAACGACGACCCGGCGATCCTCGGCCAGAACGCAGCTGGCCTGAGCTACGACTTCTACCAGACAATCCAAGCCTTCGATAACGTCGGTCTTGCTGGCCTGGTAAGCTTTCTCAAGTGCCGTTTCATATCAGTAAAACGGAGCTAACAAATACCAGGGGGCACTGGCGCAGAACAGCATCCGGTGGAGCAACTTCGAAGATCAGAACGAGGTCGAATGGGTTCGTGATATTGATTTCGGTGAGAATGGAGATGGCATTAAGGCCAAGCGTTTGCAGCAGTGGAACGAAAAGTGGGAGGCCTTCTGCGAGTGGGTTGTGAAGGAGTACGGAGACCGTTATGCCACAGAGGAGGTCTGATATCCACATAGCATGATTAAGCTAGTGAATGTTAGACTTAGGTTTCCAACTGATTGCCTCGTATTAACCATTTCTCAATACATATTCAAGTCGGATTTGATTCTTGTCTTATGGTAAACCAAAGTCTCAGTGATTGAAGGGCGACCTGCCCCAACTCTAACCTGGAAGCTCGAGTACTCACGACCATCAGCCATCGAGATACTTATCACCGCATCTCATTCAGAATTGACTATTGGCAATTTTTTGTTTCGTATTACAAAATCCCCGGCGTCCATCCCTTTTTGCAACGCGAAGTTCAGTGAGGGTATAGTCTTAGGGCACAGATTTCCAAAATCGAGTCCAACCACGTGCTTCTAGAGCCACTGCCCTAGTGCATGCATGGATAGATGATATGTTCTGCACAGGCGAGAATCAGTTCGAAGTCAAGACCACTGATCGTTGTGATTATATTGCCCTGCGCAATATGTCAATCACAGAACAACTGTTTCCGTCTGTTTTCTCCAAACCGCCTTCAATGCCGTTTGCCTCTGGGGATGACTGAATCTCCTATAAACCCTTGGCTCCTTGTCAAGAACTCAAACGAAAGTGCCACCTAACCCTGTAGACTTATCAAGCCTGACAATGGAAGATGTGGCGCCTTTGAGCCAAGACAGGCTTCTGGTAGCAGCAAGACATCGCGATTTCGTTAGACATCGGACTTTTTCCCTGAATGTCGTAGATCACCCACTGAAGTGCATTCCTTCGATCTTAGAGGCTTCTCCATGTGTCCCCAAGCATATGCGACCGTGGAAAGGCAGTGGCGTACTTGCAAATCGAGCCAAGGTAACTTCTTCGGAGTGGCGAAGGGAACGTTTCGGCTTCTTCGGGTCGGGAGCTGTACGCCACGAGCTCAGAACAGATGTACATATCGACACGGTATGTTCGTCAAAGGCTAGTCAAGGGATGCATCACGCGCGTATCTTATTCGCGGCGTCGATCAATATAGGGATCCAAGACAGCTGTTTTTGCGATCGGCACGCACTCTTGGCGGAGTAAATCACACGGAACGCCCATGATAAGGCAAATCGTTCTTGTTGCTCCAGAATCCGCAGCTCATCTTCGGTGTGAGTTTCCCGGTCTGCACAGTAAGATGTCCAACCAGAAGACTCGATCTATAGAAAAGTGAGGTTCTTGTCTTGGTGTTGCCAATCTTAGCGCACGGCTAGGGCAACGAATAACATCGACAGTGGCTGACGGGTGGCTGAATCTAACTTAGATCCCTGTCATCTGGGTTTTATGCAAGGTTTTATAGCTGTTGTAATGTGAACTTAACCGACATATAACATATCAACTGAAGTAAGTTGCCCGGAGATTATTATCATTAGCGAAGATAAAGTAATTGGTCCAATTAAACTTCAACTTGTATCGTCGGGTATCCTTGAGTTAGCAGATTGCAGCATACAACATAGCATAGCGGATAAGAAGACAAAGCACGCTATAAGATAGCAGTACGCCCTTCTGTCATGAAGACGACGAATCTCAAAGACCACTCTCAGAGAGACAGGCGGGGAAACAGTGTCCGGGCGAGAAAACATGTATACGAGACAACGAATATGCCAACGCATTCTCCACTGGTGCGGGCGAAACGGCGGAATGTTAAATAAATCGGGGCGCGAAGGTATCACTCTACAATTTTCATTTCTATTACTTCAGAGCCGGGGTCGATGACGCTGTTCTCTCGAGTAAACCAATATAAAGTAATGAGCCAAGCCGCCGGCATACACGCGACCGGAGATCGTTTACATTATAGTTGGAGTACTCCGTCATTTGAGGTCCAACGCACCCTCATGGAGCATGAATTATGAAGTCTATGAGCATGGGTCTTAGCATGTGACGGCTAACCATAATTTTCCAATCCTCTGGCATCCACCATAACTATCATCATGATTCCCACAAGCGAGATGAACGTACGGCCGAAGGTGGCGACGTTGTCTTGGCCGCCAAGATTCTACGGTAACTGGTGGTTCACGGTGTTGCCGAAGGGAGGAACCAAACGTTTTCTTGATGAAAATAGGCTACACATAACGTGTACAATTACCAGCGGTTCGGATCGATTGACCCCGTTATATTGAATCCTCGGCGTTTCCCCAAAGGGTCAAAGACTCAAAGAATTCACGGACTCTAGGCAACCACGCCTCATCGCTCTCGGAGTACGGAAGATCTTCGGTCAGGGTTATTCCCAGTCCGGTAATCTAAAAGAGATAATGCATGGAAGCCACCAAGATCTGCACCGATAGGTTTGATCGTGTTTCGGACCATGCTAAGCGCGGCAACGGGGCTTTTAGAGCAACGTGGTTGTGACAATGATAAGATATAGCACCTTAAAATAAGCGAAAACAAAGAGTATTATAATTCTATTAGAGTAACAGGGCCTATCTCACTATCTCGGTGGAGCAGAAGCCCGATAGTTCGTTTAGGCTCCGCCCTAGATACAGATATCAAGTTTGTATCCAGATCTAGATTATTAAGGATGTGGAGCAAGGTTGGGTCGGGATGCCGGTAGTCCCTAGTCTTAATGAGTAGGATACCTTGCTCACGGATGAAGTTCGATTAATTGCAACATCTATAGGGAGGGTTGTTCTTGTTCAGGGCATCCGAGCATCATAGTGTGTCCTTCATGACGGAAGACGGCATCCGAGCAGCACGAAGAGGTTCTGGAAGACTTCTAGGATTAACTATCAAGGTCTCCACCGGCTTCACGAGTCTACACCGAAGCGCACCGGGCCGGGGACCGGCAGCATACCGGTGGACCCGACCGGGTAGAAATTAGATAGCGCATGTGAGCAGCAGCAACCTAAGGAACCGACTGGAGAATCTCCCATCATATTCCGCGACACGGCGTCGTTATTGGCACAGAGCAGCCACTAACCGCGCGCCGCCGAGACCTTCCCCAGGAGAGTGATTCTTCCCAAGTTTCCATCGCCTCTTCCCCCGGAGTCCAGCCCCCACTGAAAAAGTGACCGACCTGAGTCGAAAAATAGCAAATCCGGAGTAGGGATGCGGGGAGAAAGCAGGGTATCAAACCACAAGCCCTAAGGTGGTATGCCACTCGCCTCCACCCCTTGCGCAGAAATAACCCGCAACAAGTAATACAAGCGATATTTGATTCGCATTGTGTTGTTCCTGCTTTCCCCTTGATATCAATGCGACCCTCGGGTGACGTACCATCTCGGCCAGCCCGGATCCGGCACGCCGTGCTGCCATCGGGGCAGCAGCCTCGCCACCGACACAAATACACCAGACTACACTCGAATGATCTTTGATCCTTTCTTGCTACCCCGGCCAACTCCAGGTAGCCAAGCATCATCCGAGGGGTGTCCAATTAGTTACATAATATATCAATTACATAATAGTACGGAGTAGACGAGAGGAAGTCCCTTCCCCAGACCGTATCCAGGTGGCCATGCGGAGGGTGTCTCACTCCACGCTTCTAAACTCACTAACCGGAGAGAGGCAACCGGTGACGTACAGACGTGGAGAAATGGTCTCTTTCCTCCTATCGTCGGGAAACCGAGTGATATTATCCGTACGTTATGAAAATCCATCATTGGCCTCCCGATGTGGAGGAGATTCTCCGCCGGACGCCGCTGTTATCAGCAGTGCCGAACAGGAGGTGTTCTGTCACGGCCCATCGGTACCACTTTTCTGCAGGGAAGATACTCCAGTGAGCCAATGCGAGTCTCGAATTGTGCTGCGTCTCGGCGGGTGTTCCACATTCGGCCGTGGGACTGTCTCTAGACAGCGTGGGACACAGCCTCGCCGAACGTTGTTCTGTAATCATTCTAGCCCTCCTTCCGTATTCGTCCATTTTATGCGGCCGTGAACAATACTCCCTTCACATTCCCATGAGAGAAGCACGCCAGGGGAAGCCGGAATGCGGCAAAAAGAAGAGCGGGATCTGCACTGTGAGATCATCGACTATGATTTAGGGCAAAAATTGAGCCTTTCGGGGCGTGAGAATAAGAGTTTTAAGGGCGCCGCCAGTGCTGACTCAGCGCATCCAGCCAATCAGCGCTTGTGCAGAAAATTCTTGATGGAGAAGAGGCAAAAGTTAAAACCTAAAACCCTAATTATGGAGAATATCGAAAAGAAAATGAAAAAGAAAAAAATGAACGGAACGCAACCGCTCGGTTGGGGAGTTTTAGTCTATTTGTTAGTTATATCCGACTCCAGCCGCCTCCCCAGTGGCACTAGCTGGCCCTAAAATACTGCGTCGCGCCGTTGTTTTTGTGTTCTTTCTTCTTATGATCCTTTTTGCGACTCATCCATCCCCATCGACAAGATGACCCTACACACCGAGTCGCCTGCCATTCAGAATGGCCCCAACTATGATGACCAATATGTCGACGTGGAGAAGAAGGAATATACTGAGGATGTTCCAGCAAATGACCCATTTGGAAGCGAGGAAGAAGGAGAAGTCAAGTATCGTGTTATGGGTTGGTGGTAAGCTTCCAATGCTCATGCAATACGACTGCCGTTGTGCTTCAACGGTCTTGTGATTCCAATGCGGTGGCTAATGTGGATAATGTGATTACAGGCAATGTGGAATGTGTAAGCAGTCCTACGCTCAGTTCCTGAACCATACTTCTGAACGTGCTATCTAACCCGTTCATGTAGTGATGATTGCAGAGAATATGTCCCTAGGCATTCTATCTCTTCCGTCCGCAATGGCAACACTAGGACTTGTTCCGTAGGTGTCACCTCTCACCGTAACTCAACTAGCAACAGAACGACTGACGTACGACTCAGGGGAGTGATTATTCTTGTCGGAATGTCCGGCGTTTCATGGTACACAGGTTATGTTATCGGACAGTTTAAGCTTCGTTTCCCTCAAACGCACAGCATGGGTGACGCCGGAGAGCTTATTATGGGTCGCTTTGGACGGGAGCTGATGGGCATTGGCCAACTGCTCCTCTTGATCTTCCTGATGGCCAGTCATATCCTTACCTTTTCGGTGCTATTCAATACCATCACCGGTCACGGAACTTGCACCATTGTTTTCGCTGTCATTGGAATGGTAGTCAGCTTCATCGGCGCCCTTCCCCGTACTATGAACAAGGTGTACTATATGTCCATCGTGTGTCAGTACTTCTACTCCCCCGGGCTTCTTGTGGACAATTACTGACAACCCTTCCAGCTTGCATTAGTATCATCGCGGCGACCTTTATCACCATGATTTCCATTGGAGTCCAGGCCCCCGATCACGTCCAGGTTGATGCCACCAGGGACGTTAGTTTCCAGGATGCATTCTTGGCCGTGTGCAACATTATCTTTGCCTACAGTACGACTTGACCTCTCCCACATGTCGCACAGCTTTTGCTAATCTTGTCACAGTCACTCATGTCGCCTTCTTCGGACTCATCTCGGAAATGAGAGACCCTCGGGAATTCCCCAAGTCGCTGACCATGCTTCAAGTGGTGGATACGTCTATGTACGTCGTCACAGCGATCGTCGCCTATCGTTATGCAGGCCCCGATATCGCCTCTCCCGCCCTTTCGTCTGCAGGACCTGTCATGAAGAAGGTCGCTTACGGCATTGCCATGCCCACTGTGCGTTTAAGAATCCTTGCTCCCTTCACCGGTTCCACTTTCTAACTGTTCCCATAGGTGGTCATTGCTGGTGTTATCTACGGCCATGTTGCCTGCAAATACATTTATGTCCGCGTTTTCCGTG